TTGCAGTTTGCAGATCACCCCTGCCTGTAATTTGCCTCTAAAATCACTCAAAGGTGGTGGAAAGATTGTAATAGTTAATCTTCAGGTACATTATTCCTTGTCCCAAATGTAACATCAGCGAACAATTATCGCACATCGACCTAGTTGTGATGACAGAGCATGCACCAGAGAGCCTCATATTCCCCTGCCCCCACCCCCCCAGGAAAAAGAAAAAAAGAAAAGAATTGACAACAGCCATAGAGATGTCAGATCTTTTACTAGTGGTCTGTAAATAAGTTTGCCAAAATCACTTTCCAGCATCAAAGAACAGTTTGCAACTGTTTTTAGAGTGTAAATGCCTTTTATTTCACCTCGTGTTCAGGAAACATCTTTATGAAGGCCATTAAGGTTTAATTTTCACAATCCAAGATGTGGGGATCCAAAAATGCAAGACTTGACTAAACAGCAATAATAATGGTTCCACAAGAATTGAACATGAGCCAACACGAAGGAGAAGGAAGTGTTCCTTACGAACTGTCAGCTTGACTTTTCGATCTTTCTGTACTGCCACGTTTTAACCAAAACCAGCAAATGTTACTTTCTGTTCTCAAATAAATGCAGTTGTTTCTTTCTCAATCACTGAATCATGTAGGTAAAGCAATCATTTTCCTTACAATGCACATATGGGGCTCCTAGCTTAGTCTGCTGTACTTTGCCATGATAAAGTATTCAGGACTTGCTTATCAGAGCCACAAAAAAAAAGATCAAGGATTTCAGGTTCTTTAGATGCTTAAGCTTGAATTTTCTACTAGGTCAAATATAAGAGGGTCTCCAAGGGAATAAGAAAGAAAAGCTTTAATTAACCTGAGGATGAAACTTTTAACAAGTTCCATAACCAAAATGTTATAGAAGATTAGGTGAATATCTCTTGCTCATATATTACGGTATCCTGTCAATGACTGTACTTGAAAATACTCTCTACCAATCATTCTATGGAAAACGATACTGGATTAATAGGAGCTCATCTGTGGCCTAGATCTTATTTCCCTCTTCCATTTGTTTTTTGCAGAAAACTCCCAAGGACAAGAAAGCAACCATGCTGATTCATGGCCTTGTAGACAAGGTATCATATTTGTGTTGTTGTATGATTGTATCCCCTCGGAGCTACAATGCCACTGACAGTTGTTATTGTGGTACATAGTTTTTTAATTGGAAATATTACTATTGCTTGGTGAGCTTTCACATGTAGAATTACTAAATGGGATTTTCTACCTTCATCTGGCTACTTGACTTTGCAGGTGCTAAACTGCTCGCTAGCCCAAGTAAACATTGATTCTTTTGCCTAGTTCTTATTGAGCAATCTTCATTTCATCCTGCTTCCTTAAAGTGACTTACCAATAGTTTTGTTAGCTCTGGAATATCCAGCTGAACCACCATACTGCCATTTATGACTCCCAGGAATCATGTTTTCGATAGCTTTAGTTAACATATTGGGCTTGGTTCTACAGAATCAATAGCTGAACAATGATACTGGTTCTTTTAGTCTACCTAGTTCGACTTTGGGAGAATAGGGTGTTTCGCTTTGTTCACATGTTCACTTATGTTTTTCCCTGCAGTATTTGACTGAAAAAGATTTATGGTTTTGATTGATCCTGTTTCCAGAATGTTTACTAATATGGCTATGAACAGGTAATTGCAGGAGTCATGGAATTCCTCAGTCTGCGAATCCCACCATTTATTAGAATTGATCTTCTCCAGACCATTTTTACTCAGGCCTTAAGTCTTGGTAACTCCCCTAGATTTGTGCTTATCTTTTCATTTGTTCATTTGGCATTCTGAAGTCCTAGAGCTGAAAAGACATTTTCTGTGATTTTTATTTTGCAAGCAATATCGGTGCGTGTGAATGTGCACAAAGCAAGTTACAATTTGCGAAAATTTGGTCAATTCTTCTTCATCTTCTGCAGATACAAGTGAAAAAGTGAAGAAAGGAATTGCATGTGTATACCTTAGTTCTTGTAGAATATTCTCAGGGAATTCCTATAAATGAAGTGAAAAATATAGCTTATTATTTTTGCCGTGTTAACATATCTGGTAAATTAATATTGGACGTGGCCACAAGTAGTCCTATAGAAAATAGAAGAGAGGTCTGATCAAATTTCTAAATAGTCCTCTTTGGAGCAGGTTATTCATTAAATATGTCTTTTGATCTATCTGATTTACTTATTTTGCAGATAAAAAATATGTAAATTGGACCCTTACTGTGGCAAGTGTCCATGGAAGTAGGGCGCCATTGCCTTTTATCAAATCTGTAGAGGTGAGTTAATAGCTGCGCGACAGATTCTGTTGAATAAGCATGTATGTATTTCTAGAGGGTAGAGTTTTGGAGGCTCACTGTTGCTGTGAAACCTCCAAGACACAACAAACTAGAAACAGAAAAAAACATGGAAACTAATAACAGGCAGTAACAGTGGCAGTTGTGGGTGCATCAATGGCATATTCAGTGGCAGAAGCAGCATTATCACCGATAGACCACAGCCATTACGAGTTTTTCCTTTGATATATTTGATTTATGATGTAGACTTGATTGAGAATTGGATAATCTATCACTTTGAGACTTGGGGAAATGGCCCTGTACCCTTGCAGTAAGATCAAAGTAGTTAGACCTTCCTTTCGCAGCCTTTGCCTTTTTGAACACGGAATTCATTAGTTAGATCTTGCCTCTTTGGAGGATCTCTAGCTCTGTTCATTTATCCTGTGTATCTCTTGTTTGAGGTATGCAGATCAAAGGCTTTAGGAATCTGTTGTGATACCCTATGAACCAAGAGACGACACTGATAAATGGGCTCTAAAAATGTGAGAAGGGATGTGCTAAGTAAAAAAGAGTGAAATAGTCCTACTGTAAAGAGTCTTGATGCTACTTCAACTTCCCTCTGAGTTTCTTCTGTCACTTTAATGAAGCAGTTACTTTTTGAGCGGACTGTGAGTAGCTTAGACCTTTTTGAATTGTCCGTGAGTAATAAAAGTTGTTTGTTATAAATGCTCGTTTTATAGTCCTTTGTCTAATTTGCAGGATTCATTTAAAAACAGGTCTTGTCTTTCTTCTCCTTCACTTAATGATTGTCATCAGTAGTAGTCCTGAGCCCTCTTAAAACTTTCTGGGTCTACTATGATAACATCTCTGCTGCTTTTGAAATGGACTTGTAGGTTTCTTTTTCAGAATGTCAAAATATGAAAGCAACTGTTCTGCATAAACAACCTCTTCAGCTAAAAAGGTAGTTTCATAATTCTTGAAGCTGTAATATTCAGTGTGAAAGATAACCTCGATATGTCTCTGTTATACATACTCCTTTGGCATAATTTCTCCAATAAGTCAAAATATTTTGCTCTTGTATTAGTAATTCAAGATTGTATACTTGAGGTGTTATGATATCATATAGAACATGTAATTAGATTGTCTACCAATCTGGAACTGACATTTTCCAGAAGTTATGGGATTTTTTTTTTTAAAAAAAAAAATGTTATCATTGTCGGCCAAGAACTAGAGCATCCATGAATAATTCTAACAATCATTGCTTTTTCCTCTCTTGTTTACTTCACATTAATAAAGGGTCTAACATACCAAAAGGAAAAAAAAATGAAGAAATATAAATTGGACACATAATAAAATGGAGCAACGGTAAAGTTGTCTCCGTGTGACGGTCACGGGTTCGAGCTGTGGAAGCAGCCACTAATGCTTGCATTAGGGTAGGTTGTCTACATCACACCCCTTGGGGTGCGGACCTTCCCCGGACCCTGCGTTATAAAATGGAATGAAAATGAGTAATATGAATATCATTTCAGCAGCTTCCGAGTTTTCTAACCACAAAACGGAAAAAGAAAAGAAGATCCCGAGTTGATATGAAAAACTAGCATGTTAAAGTCAAATTTATTGATGAGGAAAAAATAAAAATAAAAATAACAAAGTGCGGAATCTTGACCATTGATTTTCTTGATCAAAATTTTGAATTATTTCCGCGGCATATGATGATTTTCCTTTTTAATTATTGGTGAGGGTTTATTTCATATGTTCACTACTATTATAAATTCTCTCAGACTGAAACGTTCTTATTCAACTCCTATTGCTTGTCAGGCGGACAGTTAAGAATGCAAATCCTTTTAACGTTAAGTTGAAATTGAACTTCAGTGATGGCTGCAAGTGTTCATCGGCTGAAATCAAAATTCCAGTTGATTTTAAGGTGAGAGGACACTGGACAAGTTTCTTCATTCAAACATCCTTGCTTTGGTTAACCTCTGGCCACATTGTTTTAATGCTTATAAGATAAATGAATGAAGACTACTTTGTTATGACCTCTATATTAATTTATTATTGGTAAACCATGCCTAGCCAATTCCATGCTAGTGTTCATTCTCCTCTGTGAAAACTGAAAGAATGATAACTCATGCTTGTTTTAACTTCAAAACATTGCGTGTAGATCTTCTGCAGAATCACAATGTTCTAGACATTGTTTTATGCCCCACTGCATTAGACTCAGCGGTGAACCCACAGGGGAGGGGAGAGGTTGCTTCCTAAAAAGAACTGGGGTTGGCTCCTTGCTTTGATTCCTTACCCATAGCATACCATTTTCCCTTAGGCTTGGGCCAATGCACTAGGATTTTCTGCTCTAATTAGTATGCCTCTTGGTAAATTTGGTGAGCGGCTAGAAACTATTTGTACACCAAGTGGTAAAGATATTCCTAGGCTGGTTACTGTAACCAAAAGAAAGGTTCCAGACTTGATGCCAGCATATCCCTTTTTGCAGAGTAGACTAGATTGCTACCAGTATATCCCTTTGATTCATGTTTAATGGCATTCTTGACTTGTGAGGTCCTTTACTGAGTGAATTTATCTCTTTGAATTGGAAGCTCGGCTGTTTGATCACCTGTAGTGGCGAGACTTGAGTGTACCTAGCGATGCTCCTTGATGGAGGCAAATCATTGGTTAAATTGAATCGTGATATGGGTACAACGGTACAACTAGAAAAGACCAACAATTTGGTGGCACTTGACTTTACCCCAAGGCTGCTTAGCCAACAGTCTAGCTTTAGCCTTTGGCCCCTAGTTACTGGACCAACGGATTTATAACTTGAATTATTTGTGGCATGATTAATGATACATATCTTTGCATGGTTTGCAAGAACAATTTAGTGATCTGATTGGAATCAATGTCTGCAGCTGCTTTGTGTTCCCCGCCACCACTTGTCTAGAATCAAAATTATTCTACTTTATTTCTCTGAGAATCACAACTTTCTTTGAGACACCTCTAAAGCATGTGCATTATAGTAATTGAATAATAAATTTTCTTCAGAACTGACCATTGTTGTAAAGGGATGAACTTTTGTATTGCCCAGCGCTATCTTAATGCTTAGCTGTTGTATTTAATGAAAATCTTTTTGATTACTGCTCAAAATAAGTTGTGAAACTAGAAGCTGGAGAAGTATGAGAAACACGATTGGACAATATTTCAATATATACATTGGCAACAAATACTGTACTAGCAGTCCAGTTCTTCATCTCGTTCCCTTTTTCAGTAAAAGAACAGTGAGGCTAGTCCTCCCTTTTTTTAGGGTATAACGGTTGGGAATGGTATGGAAACTGGCCTAACCCTTTAGTCTTTACTATGTATATTTTGTGACGGGTCTATTATTCTTGTTTATGAAGAATATTGATGATTGTCTGGGGGCTGACTATAGCGTTTTATTCTCTCGTGCAGATTTCATCACATGTGTTCAAGGATGATAAGGATTCTATATTACAGAATCTAAGAGAAAGCGCCATCGTGGATCCTCACTGTGGACAGGCTGCAGTTATTGAGAAAAAGGTCATTATGGTTCCTAAAAGTGAGATCATGGTTCATGCCATTGTAACAAACATTGTCAAGTTTGACAGAAATTGTGGAGATCTAAGTAATGGCTCATTGAAAAGGAAATGTGTAGGTTTTAATGGCATCATTCCCTCTAGAAAACGATCAAACGGTAGAAAACCCAGAGTTTTAAATGGAAGGTGATCACAGAGCTATACAGTCTCCTGTAAATATTCTTGTAGCAGCATTCTGAGAAAATGTTAGTATGTGGGGACTGGGTGAATTTTGGTAGTTAATACACTCGGTCTGGCTCTGATAGAAATCTGAAATTTCATAACCCATTTTTTGTAGTAGGCCAAAGTTTAACTCTCATTTCTTTCTAATCCATTCTTGAAATTCATATACAAGTGTATTATTGCTGGTCCAATTTATTTTAATCTATCATGCATATATTGCAATTGAAATTGACAGTGTACCATTTTAACAGAGAGATTGAGATTCTGAGAGGGGAGAGAAATTTTGGTGTATAAAATCCGAGGACTAGAAAGTTTTATTTAATAAAAACAAACAAACAAAGTTGACTCATGGTTTGTGATTATTTCTCCTAGAGTTTAATTTACGACTAAATTTGGCGTATATAGTTTTTAGTGATTACATTGCATTCTTTAATTCTTGAGCATTCACTATAGCTAGCAACACTGTTTATGCAAAAGGAAAAAAAAAAAATTAGGGGTCGTGTGATGCATTAGATAAAATAATGTATGTGTTAACTTTGTGTATTAACAAAACCTTGTTTGGTACACTTTTTGAACCTATATGATAGGTTACATGTACTTTTGTTATAAGTACTTTACTTTATGTTTTGATGATTTAATAAACTTACTATCCAGAATCAGATAAGGAACCTGTTACACATTTACAAGACCTCAAGTTCACAAGATTCTAGGTTGGGACTCATCGTGGAATATGATTCAACTCCTCGGAGTGGAAGGAACAGCTGAGGGACCAGGTCCCTACTAGTTCTCGAGGAGATTGTACGAAGTCAACTTTGCAGTTGGAAAGTTGCTGCCTGCACACGCTACTGTGTAGAACACTGCTGCAGTCAACTTGGCAGAGAGGACTACTTACCTACCTTGCTTGCATAATTGGAAATGATGTCACACATGTATATATATGCAAGGGAGGTAAAACAATATGACGACAAAGTTTTGATGGGAGATGGCCAGATTAAGAGGAGGTGGCAAACCTACTTTCATAAACTTCT